TGGATGTGTATCATATCAGTCTGCCGTTCAGGGCAATGCCGAGGCATACGACAAGCTGCAGGAGATCAAAATCTTCTGGCTCGAGGAGAGGTCATTCAACATGGAGGAAACTACAGCTGTCGCTATGTCCGTCTGTAAGGAACTGCATGCATCTGGGCATTTGGAACAATACCAGAGGGGATGGAAGGCTCTCTTGGGCATCAATGTGGTGCAGGACCCTAGTACTGCATTTAAGTGTTTTCATAGGCTGTCGCGGAAGCAACATGCTCACGAGCTTTCCCGAGGCTGGATCCAATTTGTCCTTGGGCTTTGTTATCTAGAAGGGCAAGGAACAAAGCAGGATGTTGAAAAAGCGAAGAAATATCTCAAGCTGGCATTGAACGCCAACATCATGATTGCACGTGATGCATGGAGTGATCACAAGCAGCGGGCATGCCAGAAGAATGCAGCAGCAGCAGACAATAGCGTTGCAGGTGGGCAGTTTAATGGCAGCATCCAGCAGAGGGAAAATGGTAGCACCCACCGAAGTGCAAGAGCGCCCCCTGACGTACCCGTAGCACAAAGAAACTATGCACAGACTGGCTGCCAAGATGTTCTGTTGAGGAATGACCCAAGTGGGGATGAATCCACCACCACCTCGTCAAAGATCGAAGGGCTCGTGTGTGCTCGAAGAATGGTAAAGTCAAAGGATGCTGGAAAGAGTCGAAGCATCAGAGGCGGCACACTCCAAGATGCCATACAGAGGTTTCAGGATCCGATTGCTGTGGAAGATAGCATGCTCGGTCTGCCTGTGATTTATCTTCTAGAACATTGTAAGGGTGTCCCGTCGTTGGCGAAGTACAAATCGCTGATTGAAAGGGTTATTGCCTATAAGGTCGACAGGAGTGACAGGGAAATTTTGAAGAAGGTAGTGGGTGGTAATCGATTGTTCCTGGAGTTCTTTTCTTATTTCCAGCAGGTATTTCTTAAGGTCATCACGGAGGCAAAAATAATGACAGGCAGAGTCACAGGAGGCCGAGCGCGCGCAGAAATGAGCAATACAACAGCGATTTGGAAGATGTCTTTCAGAAATGGCTGTGGGCCAAATGGTATGTCAGGTGCTACTACAACACATCGCAACTCGGGAAAAAGTGCCATAGAATCCTGGACCGTGCAGGCGGCGGAACAACTTTCTAACTTGGCAGGCATGTGCCCAATGTTCCACCAAGTGTTGGTGGAAGTCGCTCTTGTACTGATAATTTGCAGGAAAGAAAACATAGTTGCTATCCATGGGCGTGCATTGGAAGGCAAGATAGCACAGACAAACCCATCCTTTGGCCTGAACAACAAGAACACTAAGCTTTTGCCAAATAACATGAATCCCCTTATCAAAGAGCTGGTTTTGTATCATGTTAGGAGTATACTGCAGGCAGTTGCAGATGGACGGTTCTCGCAGGGCTCTTCTGGATCTGACTGGGATGGAAGCTTTCTCCAATTCAAGCTTGTCCGTGAGCTTGTCAATGTGGCCTTCGGGGAGACGGGCGAGGACTGGCATCAAACCCAATCAAGGATGGGCACACACGGCCACGTGGAAGTCGGCAATTCAGATGAGATAGTGGTGGTGGAGGAGGAGGAGGAGGAGGAGGAAAAGAAGGGTCGGAAGGAGAAGGGAAGCTGTAATGTGAATGTCCTCAGTGTCGAGTCTCGAGAACAGGCAGTTGTGAAGGAGAGATCAACAGCAGGTGTAAAGTCTCCAACTGCACAGGTCACTCTCTGGCACAGGGTGGGCGCAAAATCTGCCAGGACAACAACGACGGTACTGGGGGCACAAGGCCGGGAGGAGAATGGCAAAGAGAAGGAGATTGTGGCCGTAGAGGAGGAGGAGGAGGAGGAGGAGCCTCCAATTGCACTGCCCATTCTGCAGCAGAGGGTGGACGCAAAAGCTGCAAGTACAACACAGACAATACTGGGGTCACATGG